TTTTGTGTTTATTTTTTGAAAACAAGTTTTTTTTTTTTTTTTAACTAATTCAACTCTTTCTTCCCTGTTTTTTAAAAACGTTTTTGAAATTCTAAAAGTAATTTTTTTAAATAATAGTTTTTAAAAACATATTTTTATTTTCCAAATTTTCTTCTATTTATCTATTTTTTTACATATTTTTCTCTAACAAATTTATTTACCAGTCTACAATTTTTTAGTGCCTAAATTTCTCATTCTAAAAATTTTATCTTTTTCTCTAAAATTTTCATTTTTAGAATATTTACCATTATCTCTCCCCAAAATTTACATTTATATATATATATATATTTCGTTCTATCTTATCACTCTCATTTTTCTCTCCCTCAAAATTTAATATTTCATAAACTTTTTTCTATCACAATATTTTATAATTTTTATTTTTCTTTCTAATCTATTCTTTTAACAAATATATCTCCCATTTTCACTTTTTTTTTATCTTTCAACTTCTTTAGGTGTAACTTTTTTTCTCTGATAGATATATCTGGAACTTTTTTCTCACTATAATTTTTTTTCTTTTTCTAAAATTTTCTCTTTCATCTTAAAATTTTCTCCCACTCATTTTTTTAACTAACTTTTTTTCTAATCTTTTTTCTTAATCTCTCTAAAATTTCTCTTTAAAAAGTTTCTTTTTATCAATTTAAACTTCTTTTTTATGTATGACCGATTCACTGCTCAAAGAATAAGAAATGTATTCTCACCATGCCCCAACTCTGTTCCCGATTCTCTTTTTTTAATAATTAATATATATTTTATTAACTATTATACTACATTATGAATATAATATTAAATATTTTTTAAACTAATTATTTTTATTAGTAAATAATATTTCTTCAATAAAATAGATATAATTTATATATATTTATTACTATTTTCATTTTTTAAATTATCAAATTGGTAATTTTTCCCACGAAGATCATTGTCCCTAAACAAGGATCACTCGACTTGGACCTCTATTGTTGGGATCGGAGAATGAGGTGGAGATAATGATTAAAAAGTTTTGCGATGATGGAGAGAGCATCTCAATTCTCGCCTCGCCCTATTATCATCTATACTTTATATAAACATTTTTATCGGTAGCATATCTATTCAACTCTCTATCTTTTTTAACACAAGAAGACAAAAATGATTATAAAATATGTTTGGTTTTTTATTTTTAAAAAACAAAAACAATAATCAAACCTATATGATTTTTGTTTTTAAAAATAGAAAATAGAAAAACTAAAACAGAGAAATCATTATAATTAATCGATCATATAATTTACCTTTAGAATATTTCTAAATTTCTAGCTAATTTAAAAACTTAAAACAAAAAATAGTTATAAAAAAAGATTTTTTTTTTATTTATTAAAACGTGGCTAATAATTACATTGGATGGTAAAAAAATTATATGTATTTTTAAAAAATCAGTTTAAAATGTTA